GGTCTCAAGATGACGCGTGCATGGGCTTACCGATTCACCTGGCCAGTGACTTTTCCACTGGACGTTCTGGCAGACGCCACAGCTATATGATGACTGCGGCCTGCTCTTTGAGCTCCTCGAACGTTGATTCGATCCCCTCTCCCTCTCCTCAACAGACACAAATCCTCGAAGTTCGAGCCCCCCCTTCCCCCTCGATCGGGGGCGTCCCAGCGGGGGGCGAGGGCGAAGACTCGGCGGGCGTGGATATCATGGCCAACAAAAATGTCGGGGCCCCCTCCTCGTTCTCTCGGCACGGCCTTGCCCCCCCCCCATGTCCGCGCACGGGCCCCGTGCCGTGCTGCGTCGACCCCCAAGACGGTGTGGCAGGAAGGGTTTTCCGCGAGACCTCGGCGCGTACCTCTTGGCTCTCGTGGCAGCTGCAGGCCACGGCCCAGTCTCGAGGCCTGCCGCCTCTCGTGCCCATGGCGCGCCGACCCCCCCTCCTTCTTCCCTCGGCCCGCGCCACGCCCTTGTGCCCCCCGCCCCCCGTCCGCGCACGTGCCTCCTGCCACGATGCGCCGACCACCCCCCCCGCTCTTCTGGACCCCCCCTCTCCTCGGCGCACACCCCGCCCCCAGACACCCGACGTCGCGATTTTCTGCGCGCACAGCGCGGCGCGCCCCGGAGGTCCGCCACCCCCCTCGCCGGGGACCGGCCCCCGGAAGCCGCAGGTGGCCACAAACCCTGTCGCCGCAACTTCTTCCCGACGCGAGGGGAGCTCGGGGTCGAGTTAAGTCGAGGCGTCCCTCTACAGGAAGAAGCATGGTCAAAAAAAATAGTCGGGGTACGATGTTTTGATTTTTTTTGGTTTTTCTTCCAAAATCCGCCTGTTGGAGGACATGCCCGACCTGAGAGTCGAGCGCCGCGGCGCCAGGCGCGGCGACCGGGAGCCCCGCGCCGGAGGCGGCGGCCGCCCTGCGGGCAGAGGGCCGCGGACGGCCCCCGCCGCGGCCGCGGCGGGCCCCTCAGCGCCGCGGGGCGCGGCCGCGGGCGGCCGCGGCGAAGGCGGCGGCGGCCAGGGCGAGGAGCGGGGGGAGGAGGTCGGTGAGAGGAGGCGCGGCTTCGCCTGAGTGCCGTTGTTGAGGAGAGGGGGGTGGGAGGAGGAGGAGGAGGAGGAGGAGGAGGAGGAGGAGGAGGAGGAGGAGGAGGAGGAGGAGAGAGGAGGAGGAGGAGGAGGAGGAGGAGGGGAGGAGGAGGGGAGGAGGAGGAGGAGGAGAGTGGAGGCGGGAGGGAGGCTGCGGAGGGGCCGCCTGAAGGAGAGTGGAGGCGGCAGCGGACTGTGGGGGGAGGAGGGGGGGGAAGGGGGGGAGACAGAGGAAGGGAGGAGAGGGAGTGGAGAGGGTTGAGGAGGGCAGGGGTTAGGAGGTCTCCTCCTCTCGTCCTCCTCCTCTCCGTCTTCCTCCTCCTCCTCCTCCTCCTCCTCCTCCTCCTCCTCCTCCTCCTCCTCGTCCTCCTCCTCGTGGTCTCTTGGGTTTCGTTGCGCCTTGACGGAAATGCCGAAAGCTCAGCAGAGGATTGGTAGATTAGCGTACGAACATATGACGCGCGGCACTCGCCGTTCGTCTGGGGACCCATTCGCCCTTGATCGCGCTTATCGGAATCCATTCCCGTCACCCAGAGGTCGCAGGCCAACTAAACTCTGCGGCGGAATACCTTCAACTGTTTCACATTGTTGCCGATGGGGGGCTACGATGGGGGACCCACGATTGGCAACCGGTTCCGGGGGCCCAGGCTCCGTCACTGGGCGTCAGAGCAAATGCATAGAGAACAATTGCAGACAAGTTGCTCAGGGAATGAGGAGGGTGAGGATGAGGGGGAGGAGGAGGACGAGGAGGCGGAGGAGAAGGAGGACGAGGGCAAGGGCAAAGTCATCACATACTACTGATGCCTCAGTACACCCCCCCATCCCAAGTCCACCCTCATCAATTGACATCACACACGCTCGTCCTGCCGCCACGTCAAGCGCCCGATGGGAATCACTATTATAATACGGCGCGGCTCGAGATGCCAATGAACGACCACATAACGTCACGGACCACATAACGATCACATACGTTACCGAAGCGTTACATCCACGCTCACATTCGACCACGCAGCGCTACAAGCCACAACGAGTCCGCGAGAGAGCGGCCATCTGCCCATACAGCTTATAAGAGAAATGCGCACGGCGCCAACGCGAGGGCACGACTTTGAAGAGGAGCCACCCTCCACTGGTACAACCGCCGGGGTCATCAAGACGTTGCGACCACGGTTCACAGGAGGGGCCAGGCGAGAGCTCCATCTTGGGAGGGGGCCGACCACCATCCTCTAGGTCACGCCCAGAGATGCGCGAAGATAAGCCGCGCTTCGCCTGGCGCGGCCCGGGCCGGAGAGCTGTCCTTCTCGTGGGGGGGACAGCGCGAATCGCGGAGGAGGGGAGGTGGGGGAGGAGGAGGGGGAGGAGGGGAGGAGGAGGGGGAGGAGGAGGAGGAGGAGGGGAGGAGGGAGGGCGGGGAGAGGAAGGCGGGGGAGGAGGGAAGGGCGGGGGAGGAGGGGGGAGGGGGGAGGAGGGGGAGGAGGGGGAGGAGGAGGAGGGGGCGGGGGCGGCGGGGCTCTCGGCCCGGGCCGGAGAGCTGTCCTTCTCGTGGGAAATGTGGCCGCGCACCGCGGGGCGCGGCGCGCGAAGTTGGGCGACCCGGACCCCTGCGGCTGTGGGCAGGGACGGGGGCTCGTACGGGTCTCCCTGGCTGCCGGCGGGGGAGGAGGAGGAGGAGGAGGAGGAGGAGGAGGAGGAGGAGGAGGAGGAGGAGGAGGAGGACAAGAGGGACGAGGAGACGAAGAGGACGACGATGACGAAGAGGACGAGGAAGGACGAGGAGGACGAGGAGGACGAGGACGAGGAGGAGGGGAGGAGGGAGGAGGGAGGAGGGAGGAGGGAGGAGGAGGAGGGAGGGAGGAGGGAGGAGGGAGAGGGAGAGGAAGGAGGGGAGGGAGGAGGGAGGAAGAGGAGGAGGAGGAGGAGGAGGAGGAGGAGGAAGACCAGTGTAAATCTAAGAGTCCCCAATGATGTTGGAATGGACCCTCCCTCCCAGCTCCCTCCACAGGCCCCTGCAAGATTTCATTTCCACTGAGGGAGCTGCCTCGTTGGAAGGCAACCTTTTGAAAACCCTGCAGCGTGCCATAACATTGCTCTCGGGCTTCCAACGCAACGGATCAACTTGACTTTTGCGTCTTGACGGTCCTGAATCATGCCAGAATGCCATTCCCGGGAATCAATGTAACAGTTGTACCATCATAGTCCTGAATTATCCAAAACACCGCTTCTGGTACGTTGATCATGGGAATCCGTGAAACTCTTGCAAGTTGTTAAAAACGAATGTGGGCGGCGCCAAGGCGAGAGCCACATTTTGAAAAGGAACCGCTCTCAATCCGTGAAACTCTTGCAAACGTTTGGAACGAATGTGCGCGGCGCTGAGGCGAGAGCAACATTTTGAAAACCACACGCCCTCAATCCGTGAAGCTCTTCCAAATATTTAAAACAAGTGTGCGCGGTGCTAAGGGGAGAGTCACATTTTCAACACCATCCGCCCTCAATCCGTGAAGTTTGCATTGTTTTAAACGAGTGTGCGCGGTGCTAAGACGAGAGCCACATGTTGAAAACCACCCGCCCTCCATTTGTGAAACGGTTGCCACTGTTTAAGCTTCAGGGTCGTGCATTGTGAGGAAGTCTCAGGAGAAACGCCTGGCCCGCCCTAAAAAATGGCCTCTGGATGTTCAGGGAGCAGCTTTTCATAAGGAAGAATGGAGGAGGAGGAAGAGGAGGAGGAGGAGGAGGAGGAGGAGGAAGAGGAGGAGGAGGAGGAGGAGGAGGAAGAGGAGGAGGAGGAGGAGGAGGGGGGGCGCAGGCGCCCCACGACCCGCCTCGGCAGTGCCGCTCCGCTTCTCCTGCCCGTCGGGGCCCGCGGACGGCTCTCTCTCTCTCTCTCTCTCTCGGCGCGCGCGCTTCGTGGCCTCTGTGGGAGGCGTCTCGTAGCCTGGCTCTCGGGGGGGGGGGGGCCCTCTCTCGAGCAGTGGCGAAGCGTCCTGGCGTGCCTACAGGCCTACCAAGCAATGTTCTGAGAACCATTTGTGGTTTCTACGAAAATGTTCTTAGAACATGTATGGCGGAGATGGTCTCGTTTTGACCCATCGGGCCAATGTTCTAAGAGCACTGTTTTGTTCTTAGAACATTGTTGGGCTCTAAGAACACTTCGTGGTAGGGCTATAGGAATGCCGGGACGGTCGGTCCCTGCTCAACGATCGGGCCCCAGAGGAGGGCGCCTTTCGGGCCCGAGGCGGGCACCTGCTCTCCCCCCCCCAGCGATCGCCCCCTCCATGAATTCTCGCGCCCGACGAGCTCCAACCCGAGGTGGCTGCCTCGCTCTGGCACTGGCCGCCCCCAGCATCTGTGCCACAGGCTCAGGCCAGCCACAACTGGGGGAGCTGTGGTCCTTACAGTGGAGACCCATGCCAAGAAACACCCTGCTTGCCTCCAGGGTGCCCTGGGTTTCTTGGGTTTCGATGGTTTTGCCATGGAAAGCGTGACGTTCCCACATCAAAAACCGATGGACATCCTGGGGTTTCAGGGTTGGGTTTTTTGTGGGAGGTTTCTTGTGGACCGGCCTCCACTGTACCCCCCTGGGGGGCCCATCGATTTCGACACCCCCCTCGAGAGATTGTCGACGCGATGGGCTACCCCAGGGGGGTCAGGACCACGGCTCCCCCAGTTGTGGCTGGTCGGAGACGCTTCCCCCCAGCGTCTTGGCACACGGGGGCGTCCTGGAGAGGGCCTCGCCGCCGGCGCGGCTCGCCCCGCGGCGGAGGGGGCCCGGCGGGAGGCCCGCGGGAGGCGGAGCAGCGGCGGCTCCGCCGGCGGAGGGGGAGGCGAGACGCAGAGCGTGAATTGCCTACCCCGCTTTCCGCTCCCAGGCAAAACGAAGCCATACGGCAGAGGGAAACAATTAGTGAACACCCCCCCTGCCCCCCAAACTCAAGGTTGGCACGCGCGGGGGAGAGTGCGGTCGAGGTGCAACTCATCACACCCACCGCCAACTCTGAACATTGGGGGGAGGGGGAGGCGTTGACGGATGAATGTGGCATGTGTTCGCTAATTTGTTCCGAGGCCTGTAGCACGCGCCTCCTCGTCAAGCGGCCTGACCAGTACAGGCTGCAAGTTGGCATCGTCTGGTATCTCGTGGAAGCGAGGGTGGTCAGAAGCGAGGTCGGTTTGTTTCCCCCCTAGAGACGCCAGCGCTCACCGAGCGCGTTCCACCACTCGCAAAGTGCTGCCTCGCAGACGTCAGAAAGCAAAGAGGTCGTCCTCTGTGTCATGGAGCGCAGATCCCCCGCGGCGGACTCGGGCCATTTGCGAGCAGTTCCTTGGCGAGTAATTCGTGGAACGCGCTTGTCGGAACGGGTCTGGACTCAGGGGTGCAGAGGTCAGACACAGGGTGCAGAAAGAAATGATGCGCAAGCGATCTGGACGATTGAATAGACTTTCGCAAGGGGTCACTTCCTCGTGCAGCTTCGGCATTGGTTGAGGATGATAGCCCCTGGGGTGAGAGCCTCTGGCGTTCGCCGGTTCGAAGAATGTTGTGGAAATAATTCGTCGTCGGGAGATGCGTCAGCAATTGTGCGCGCTGTCTTGACGGATGGCCACATGTTGATTGTAATGGGTGTGTTGGCGGAAGCAGGTGTGAAGCGCGGCGGCGATGGTGTTGGTGACGACGACGACGACGACAACGTCGACGACGACGTCGATTGCGGCGGTTGTTTTAGCGGCCGAGATGATGACAACCAGCGAACACAACTATAACGATGGCGATTGCGATCTGATGGGAAGCGGGGCCAGCAGGGGACGTCCGTAGCAGTTTCGCACAGCTCAAGCCTCCTTTAAGGCTGCAGGCTGGATTACGGTCTCCTCCGAATGGTACTGCGTACACTTGTCGCGGGACCGCCTCAACTCAAGCAGCAATGTTTTTTCCCGTTCTTAGGGCATTCTCGCCAGCATTGCGCAGCCGCACCGGCGCGATGGTGATTTCTTTGATTACTTGTTTGGTGGCGGATGAACTGGCTGGCGGACAGGCCAGGCGCGGCGGGCTGTTCGCACAGGCGCGGGGTACAAGTGGGTGTACGGTCCAAGCGCTGCCAGCGCGCACGGCCTCGGAGGACGGCGAGGGCTGCACGGAAGGGGAGGATATGCGGCGCTACCTGCAGCCGGGCCTTCTGCAGACGGCGGTCGGCCTCAGTCCACCGGCCGTCGCTCCCTCACCGTCTGCTGCCGGCGCCGTGGCCGCGGCGGCGGGCGACGCGATCGGCGGCCACGCACCCGTGCCCAACCCGCAGCCGGTGATGCTCGGCCTCAGCCTGTGGCTCGGCCGCGGGCGCGCCAGCTACGCCGTGGCCCTCGGCGTGGGCAGCACCTCGGCGGGGGCCCTGCTGGCCGGCGCGCTCGCACTGCTCATCGCCTGCATGGCCTGCTGCTGCCTCGCCCAGCGGCGGGGCCCGGGCGCGGGCGCGCCGCCCTGGGCCGACGCGGAGCCCTCCGCGGGGAAGCTGCTGAGCCAGCAGGCCCCCAGCCGGGCCCCCGGCAGGGCCCCGCGCACGCCGGATGCCGTCGGCAGGCCCCCCCCGGGGGACCCCTTCGGCCGCGAGGGGCGCGCGGGCGGCGAGAAGCCCGGGGCCTCCCAGCGCCACCTCCCGGCCTCCGCGGCGTCGCTGCCGGGCGCGCTGCCCACCACCAGGGGGTCGCACGCCGCGCCCGGCGGAGGCGGCGCCGTGCCGGTGCTCTGCCAGGCGCTGCTGCTGCCCAGCATGGAGTCGCGGTTCTGCGTCGCCGTGGAGGCCCTGCAGCGGGGCTTCCGCCGCGGGGGGCTGGACATCATGGGCACGTCCGGGAAGAAGCTGCTGGAGCTGGTCCTCCGGGGCAGCGCCGGGGAGGGGTGGGCTCGGGCGGGGACGCATCGACACCCCCGATCGCCCCTTGAGTTAAGTCGGGCCTGTCCCCCTACAGGGGGATTTCCGACGAAGAATAAAAAATACCAACAACAAAAAATAGTCCAAACATAGTCTGGGGACTATGTGTTGGGTATGGTTTGACCTTTTGGGGGTATTTTTGGGGCATGTTTTATTTTTCGTCGAAGATCCCCCTGTAGGGGACACGCCCGACATAACCCTCGAGATCGGCGGCGGGGGCCCGACGGCCGGCAGCGTGCAGTTTCGCCGTCGGGGGCGCTGCGCCGATCCAGCGGTTGTGTATCAGGCCAGCCACAACTGGGGGAGCTGTGGTCCTTACTTTATGTGTGAGTTTAATTGGTTTTAGGGTTTAAACAAATGGTCGCAGCCACGCAGAGGGCGTGCGTAGCGACGCCCCAAATGCTCGGTCTCCAGTAACTACTTCTACGTGGCGGCGCCCCCTCAGGCACGCAGAGCTTCTAAAACCCAACATTTGAAAACCAATTGTTTCCACTACTAAAGTACCCCCCTGGGGGGCCCATCGACTTCGACACCCCCCTCGAGGGATCCTCGATGCGATGGGTTCCCCCAGGGGGGTGAGGACCACAGCTCCCCCGGTTGTGGCTGGTCGGTGTACCCCTGCTGACAGGTCGATGGTTCCCCCCCTGAGCAGCCCCCCCCCTCTATATATATATATATATATATATATATATACACAAGTGGCACGTGTGTGCCCAGGCTCATACAAAAAACTGAAGGGGCGTTTGAAGCAGGAGTGAAATGCAACATCGAAGTCGCACTCGAGCGCAAGTGGGGTTGCCACACCTTGCGATGTGTGTACCAGGACCCCCCAGGAAGCCTCAGGAGGCCCGACTTGGATACCAGAAGAGGCTCCAGGAGGCCCCAGGATTGTGAGTGTTGTGCGTGTGTGTGTGTGTGTGTGTGTGTGTGTGTGATGTATGCTTTGTGTGGTGCGTGCTTTTTGTGTGTTGTAGGTGTTGTGTGTGTGTGTGTTATGTTTGTCTAGCGTGTGATGTGTTGGGCGTGATTTGTGTCTCTGTGTGCATGTAGTTCTGAAGCCCCAGGAGGCCCCAGGAAGCCCCAGGCGGCCTCAGGAGGCCCCAGGAGACCCCAGGAGGCTTCAGGAGGCCCCAAGAGGCTCCAGGAGGCCGCAGGAGGCCCCAGGAGGCCCCAGGAGGTTTCAGGAGACCCCCAGGAGGCTCCGAGGCGGGGTCTGGGGTGCCAGAAGGTTCAGAAAGCCCCAGGAGGCCCCAGGAGGTTCCAGGAGGCCCCCAGGAGGCTCCGAGGCGGGGTCTGGGGCTTGATTTCGGAAGGATTTTTCAAGCGAAACCGCCATTCCCTGAGAATCGGGGTCACAATTATTGAAATTACCATGTGTTTTTGAAGGTTTTATGTTAAAATGTTGAAAGTCCCATGTGTTTTTGGACCCTGACGTCACGATCTACCGATTTTCAGAATTTCGAGGATGTCCCGAGCGAAACGCGTGCGCATTAATCGCCTCTGAGCTCTACTCCCTCGGAGAGGTGCGTATGAGAATTATATATATATATATATATATATTTATAGATTTGACAAAATGCCCCCCAGGTGATGCAAGACCCTGGCGGGAGGAGGCAGCTGCAGATCTGCTCGGTGGGGTCTCACGAGCCCCGGCGCGCAGCGTCGGCCGATCTGGCGCGGCGGGCGGCGAGGAAGCAGGAGGAGGACGAGGAGGGGGAGGAGGAGGAGGAGGAGGAGGAGGAGGAGGAGGAGGAGGAGGAGGAGGAGGAGGAGGAGGAGGAGGAGGAGGAGGGAGGAGGAGGAGGAGGAGGAGGAGGAGGAGGAGGAGGGGGGGGAGCGGGGAAGAGAAGCTAGGTGCGCTCGCGTCGTACCTGACGTCCTACCCTTCCCTCCCACCCCGTACCATAGCGTAGATCTCCTCTCTATTCGCACAGTCGGATGCCGAGCAGGGCAATGATCCCGAGAGGGTGCGCGATGCATCGTAGAGCACGGCATAGACGTGCGTAGAAGAGAACGGCAGAGCGTGGTATGTCATAGCATGGTGTGGCGTTGCGTAGTGAACGATTGCATCGCAAAGCATTGCAACGCAGAGAATGGCATCGCACAGCGGCACAGAACATGGCATAGCATGGCGTTGAAGATCAAAGCGTAGCATGGCATTGCATGGCGTGGCACTGCGTAGTCAAGCACTGCATCTCCTAGCATTGCAGCTGAAGGCATGGCATCGCATAGCGGAACAGCACATAGCATTGGATCGAACGCCGTGGCATGGCACTGGAAATAGTGACGCCAGCGCTGCAGCGGGAGCACGATTCGGAACGAGCGGAAGCGCGGAAATGAAGCCAGCGCTGCAGCCGGAGCACGATTCGGAATAAGTGGAAGCGCGGAAATGAGGCCAGCGCTGCAGCGGGAGCACGATTCGGAACGAGCGGAAGCCCAAAAATGAGGCCAGCGCTTCAGCGAGATCAACATTTTGAACAAAAAACAACAAAACAAAAACGAAAAACTAAAAAAAAAACTAAGCGATAACCCAAATGTTGGGAATCCTGTGTGTAAAAAGACAGTGCGCGGAGAGGGGCCGAACAGCTTCCAGACGTCATCAAAGGAGAGGAGAGCATTGTGTAATTATGGAGGTTTCCGGGCACCAGCGCCTGCTCATCTGAGGCGGCTGGAGGAGGAGGAGGTCCAGGAGGAGGAGGAGAAGGAGGAGAGGATTGAGGGGGAGAAGGACGAGGAGAGAGGACGGAAGAGGCAGGAGGAGGAGGAGGAGGAGGGAGAAGGCGGGAGGAGAGGAGGAGGAGGAGAGGAGGAGGAGAGGGGAAGAGCAGGAGAGGGGGCTTCTTCGCAGGAGATCGGCCCACTAGTCGATCTCCATCGCGATCGGTGCGGAGACCAGACCGTGCTGAACAGCGGGGGGGGCCGGTGGGACGCTGAGGCCTCGTGTGATCGTTGAGGTCCACACGCGGGGCAGCATGAAGATATACGGACACGGCAGAACCTTTTTCGCCACCCTGGAGGCCGGCAGCAGCCCCAACGAGTGCGTCCTCGTCCACGACGGGGAGGCACCGGGGGTCCAACGAGGAGGAGGAGGAGGAGGAGGAGGAGGAGGAGGAGGAGGAGGAGGAGGAGGAGGAGGGGAGGAGGAGAGGAGGAGGAGGTGGAGGAGGAGGAGGAGAGGAGGTGAGGAGGAGGAGGAGGAGGAGGAGGAGGAGGAGGAGGAGGAGGAGGAGGAGGAGGAGGAGGAGGAGGAGGAGGAGGAGGAGGAGGAGGAGGAGGAGGAGGAGGAGGAGGAGGAGGAGGAGGAGGAGGAGGAGGGGGAGGAGGAGGAGGAGGAGGGAGGAGGAGGAGGAGGGGGAGGAGGAGGAGGAGGAGGGAGGAGGAGGAGGAGGAGGAGGAGGAGGACGGGGAGGCACCAGGGGTCCAACAAGGGTCCGAAAGAGAGGTCAAGGCAACGTGCATGTGCAGACATCCCGTAGATGCCCATCGTCGGCCTTTGCCGCCCAAGATGCTGCTCCTAGGGGAACGAACAGTGACATAAGCATAAAAACTCGGAGGTCCGCGCGGATTTCTCGGATCGGCGCTGGAATTGCTACGGGGCTGCGGTAGAAAAGCTGAACCGCTTTACAAAACAGGCTAGCGAAAACGAGCAATACTGGAGATCCTACCCCATTCAGAAGAATGGTGTCCCCACGTCTGGATTATAATAGAAGCTTGCATGGCGTGCGTATGTGTTTGAAGTCTGGATTGTATGAATATGGGTTTTTATGGGCATTCCTGCCAGTTCTTGTGGGGTCGTTCGTGCACATGCACATGCATACAAAGTTCTTATGCGCATTCTGCTTACAAGGCCCGTGACACCAAAAGGCCAGGACCCCCGCACAAGTGACACCCTCCCAACTAGAAGTTCGGGCCCCTGGACATCCTGGGCGCCCCTGCAGAGTGTCTCCTCGTTTCTAGGCCTCCTGGACATCCCGGGTGGGCCTCGACCACATGCCCAAAGCAGCCCGGAGGGCGCCCGAACGGTCTCACGGAAGCCCCAAGCGGCGTCAGAAGCTTACAAAACACCCTAAGGCAACCACAAGAGGCCCCTTGAACACCTAACCGATTGGTTGTCTCTAGGTTTGGTACATGATTTGGAGGCATCCGTGTCTTTGGTCTTCCAGGCGCCCGAGTCCGCCGAAGAGGCCCCCAAGACTACCCCAACGCGGACCGAAAAGGCTTCAAGATGACCCAAGAGAGCCCGAAGATTCAAAGGGGGCAAATCTGGTGTCCCGCGCGTCCATCCCTATTTTGTGTGCACCGCCGAGTCGAGTGATTGTCGCGTCGGAGAGAAACACACACAACACCCGCCCAAAAATAGTAGTAAGTGTGCGCATTCGTGTGTCAGTATGGCTTGTGCAGGTGTGCGCGTGTATACGTATGTATGTGTGCTGACAATATGAGTCTGTATGCGTCGTCGACGTTTAAGTGCTAACCTGTACGTGCGCACGCGTGCATGCGTACAGCTGTGTATATGTGTATATGTCGATGTGCGTTTCAGCATGCGCTTGGAGCCCAACCGTGTTGTCCGTCATCAATAATGATTGTGTGAAGTCGCCGCTTGTAGATGTGATTCGCCGTTCTTCCCAGAGCATCATCCAGCTGGGCTTTGTCTTTGAGCCAAGGGATTCGACCCTGTCGCCCAGAAGCTCGGATGTTGAACCACAGGGTGCTCAAGTTTCAAGCCCCATGCCTCCCAGGGCTCCAGACATCCGACGCCGCGTCTTTTTCGTGCCATGGGCCCCCCGATCTCTCCACCCCGTCCCGGGGCTGTGTTTTCATCCCGTTTGCCAGCGCAGCAGCCGCCTCAGTCCCCGCCGGCGGGTCTGGCCGCGCCAGCACACCCAGGGAGTGATCCGTTCCCCCTGAGTGGCCCTCTCTTCCTCCTCCCCCCCTGCGGCCGCCCGCTCCGTCCCTCGACCCCCTCTTGCATGCTGGCCAATTCGCTACAACGGTGCCCCCGTTTAGTTGGCTGCTTCCGCAAGCGCAGACGACCCCTGCCTAGCCGCCTACGCCAAAAGTGTTTTCATCCCGGGCTGGTTTCTATGACTTTGGGGTACGAAACAGGTCTCCGCGGGCCCAGCATGAAAGGCAGCAAGCAGCAACAACAGCAAAACGCCAAACATGTCAATAAAAACAACGGACAATGTGTTGTCTTGCTCGCGACGCCTGGATGTTCATCAGGTGCTTGGTATGGGCGTTTCGTCAAACGCCGTTTTCCAGATTTCACGCCAGAGACCGCCACAGAACCCGCCAAACACTGATGGGCAACAGGGAGCCGATGATCGAACATTTTTTACGTCGCAGCGCGGCAGAGGCAGTCCGCACGCGCGTCCGGGCGAGACCGGGACGCGGCGTCGCGAATTCACCCGCATGCAAGAGTCGGGTGTTGCCGGAAGTACCCCTGGCCCAAGGTGCCGCCAGGATTCTCGGGGATGCCCAGACGGCCTCCAGGGCACCCCATCACGAGGCCCATAGGGCCCCAGGGGGTCCAAAATGGAGCGAAGAGCTGGGAGCACATTGGGCCATCGGCACTTGTAGCAACACCTGAAAGAGGGGAGGAGAGCGGGAGGGCGGCCGCGGAGGGGGAGGCGGGCGCGGGGGCACTCTCGCGCAGCGGGCTTCGTGGGTGGTCGAGCACGTCAGGTTCAAGCTTTGGGTCTGGGCTCGCCCCAGGCCAAGGTGAGGCTGCTGGCCGAGCCGGGCCCAGAGATGCAGTTTCACGTCATCACGGCCGACGGCCAGCACCTCGCAGCGGCCGGGCGCTCCGGCACCCTCTGGATGCTCAGGGCGATCGGTCACGGTGAAGCAGAGGGCCGAGCGCATTCTACTGCTCGCAAAATGCCTAATTACTCGCAAACGTCCGAAAGAAAGCATGCCTTCCTCTGTGTAATGGATCGTAAACCCCTCGCGGCGGATCCAGGCCATTTGCGAGTAGTCACTTTGCGAGTAGTGGACCGCACTTGTCCAGGCTTTTGGGCGCTGTTCGCCATTCGAGGGCCTCCCGGGGGCCTCTCATCGCCACGGCCGGATGCCTTACAAAATTGTTTTTGGCAAGCACCCTTGATAGGTCTGGAGGTCGTCTTCTGGCCCCCAAATCGTTCGCCATGAATCTTGGAGGTTTTCCGCAGGTTTCGGATTCCTGGGCCCTCCCCGGGCACCAGGATCGTCAAGTACAAAGGAACGTACCCAACGCATGCACAACAAGTGGCAACATCAATAGGCTCACCCAAAGACGGATTCTCATGTGAGAGAGGGCGCGTTCCCTTTTTTTCTGCAATCTACATGAGGAACTTCCTCACTGCGCGCCCCCCGAAACGTACATGAGGCGGCCCCGGCAGAAAATGAAATGCAGGGGTAAGACGACATCCTGCTGGAGCTCCCAGGGGCTCGCTCGAGCGGCGATTTGTTGCGCAGGCGGAGCGCCCAGGGAGGGGAAGCCGAGCTTCCTCCGCGCAAGACGTTACGCCGCTGGACCTCCCTGGAGCTCACGGAAGTGTTCGGGTACAGTGGAGACCCATGCCAAGAAACGCCCTGCTTGCCTCCAGGGTGCCCTGGGTTTCTTGGGTTTCGATGGTTTTGCTGTGGAGTACTTGACGTGCCCACACCAAAAATCAATGGACGTCCTGGGGTTCCAGGGTTCGGTTTCTTTGGGAAGGTTTCTTGTGGACTGGCCTCTACTGTAGGGGCAGTCTAGCGTGATTTACACAAGATGTCCATCGCTGGACATCCCAGGAGCTCGCGGAAGCGGCGGCAGTGTGCAGTGTCCGTGGTCGTTCCTTTCGATGTCTTGGGGCCTGAGACGGGCTTCCAGCGTCCCCAAAACGAGGAAAAATACGCCGTCGTGGCCAAGAAGGTTGGGGGCTGGTAAGGTTCGGAGTTGCGCACAGACGGCCCCCCGAGGTGGTCCCGGCTGGCCTCGACAGTCACCCCAAGGAGACCAGGGGTCCTGTTGTGGTCCAGCTCCTCGGGCGCGGACCGCCCAAGGTGCGCCGCCGGAGGCGTCGCCAGGATGTTGAGATTGCCCTGGATTGTTCAAGAGGCCTGCTGAGGCCAGACGGGATTGACCCGAGGGTAGTTTTCGTTCCCGGCTTCCTCTGCATTGCTGTGCCGCTGTGTTATTTGTCCTCCCCCTCCTGGGTGTTTTGTTACAATGTGGAGTGCCCTTCCTATCAGTTGGGAAGCTTGCGCTTTTCGTGTTGAGTTGCCTCGATGGGGTCGTCATAAGTGAAGGAGAAGGACAGCCTCGGAGGGCTGTCTGCGCACATCCACAAGCTTTAACTAATATCTGGACCCCTTTCGTCTCCCCCTGGCCCACAGATGGGGCTGGAGGAGATGGGGTCGGAGGGTCGCACCGCATCGACGACGCATCGGCAGCGTCGTTCGATCCAGAGCCCGATCCTCCGTCCTGGCGTCGCCCATGCATCGGCGACGCTTTGCGATCCTCCAGCCCCAGTTGGGCAGCCTCAACAGGTGAAGCCGAATACGGACGCGATCCTCATCGCCTCGTGCGTGTTGTCGATGATCGTCTTCGGCTCTGGCGTCGACCGATCGGGCCGCCCTTCGGTCGAGCCGCACCAGATGGGCAGGCGATGATACACGAAAAACGGCGGACGTATACAGGAGTCAACGAGGGAGACGGTTTCCTATTCCTCCTCCTCTTCCTCCTCTTCCTCCTCCTCATCATCCTCCTCATCCTCATCCTCATCCTACAAGTTTGCAAGGGTTTCACGGATTGAGGGCGAGTCGGTTTCAAAATGTGGTTCTCGCCTTAGCGCCGCGCACATTCGTTCTAACAATTGCAAGAGTTTCACGGATTGAGGGCGAGTCGTTTTCAAAATGTGGTTCTCGCCTTAGCGCCGCGCACATTCGTTTACAAAAATTTCAAGAGTTTCACGGATTGAGGGCGAGTCGTTTTCAAAATGTGGTTCTCGCTTTAGCGCCGCGCACATTCGTGCTGAATGCTGCAAGAGTTTCACGGGTTCCCATGATCAACGGACCAGGAATGGTGTTTTGGCAGGTTTCAGGCTTATGAGGGTGTACAAGCTATGTTGATTCGCGGTGTCCAGGAATGGCGTCTTGGCACAATTCAGAAGCGTCAAGACGCAACAGTCAGGTTGATCCGTGGCGTTCGAATCCCGAGAACAATGTTTTGGCATGCTTCAGGGTCTTGGAAAACAGTTGTTTTCCAACATGGCAGTTCTCTCAGAAAAAATGAACCGCTGTAGGGGCATATGAAGAGGGAGCTTGGAGGGAGGGCTTATTCCAACATCGTTGATGCCCCGTGGGTTTACACTGGTCCTCCTCCTCCTCCTCCTCTTTCCTCCTCCTCTCTGCTCCCTCTTCTGCCTCCTTCTCGTTTCTTCATCCCCCTCCTCCTTCTCGTCCTCCTCCCTCTCTCCTCATCCTCCCCCTCCCCCTCGTCCTCCTGCTCCTCCTCCTCCTCCTCCTGCTCCTCCCGCTTCTCCTCCTCCCCCTCGTCCTCCTCCTCCTCCTCCTCCTCCTCCTCCCCCTCCTCCTCCTCCTCCTTCTCCTCCTCCTCCTCCTTCTCCTCCTCCTCCTCCTCCTCCTCCTCCCTCGTCCTCCCCCTCGTCCTCCTCCTTCTCCTCCTCCGCCTCCTCCTTAGCCTCCTTCTCCATCTGCTCCATGTTTTATACGAATAACTTTTCCTCGTCGCACCACCAGACGTGTCTGTAGGGCGGGCCGGACGTTTCGAGTCCTCGCCGCTTGTGACCCCGAAGTTTGACCCCTCAGCTACCCAGATGGAAGGCGGCCCGTTTTCTATGTGATTATTGCCCTGGCGCCTCGCAGATGCGTCCGGATTGCCCCACTGGCTATACGGATGGGGTTTGCGGGTGGTTTTCAAAGTGGTGTTATCGTCTGAGCGTTGCGGACATTTATTTTGGAAGTTCCCAAAAATTACACGGGTTGAGGGCGGCTAGGTTCCAAAGTCTTGTTCTCGCTGTTGCGCCGTATACATTCGTATTCGCAGCGCCCAGTAGTTATTCGGATGAGAGCAGGTCGCTGTCATAATGGAGACCTCGCGTCAGCCTCCTCGTGCAGTCCGACCGTTAGCCCAAAACCGGAGACAAGTTACATGGATGCAGGGCGGTCGCGTTTAGAACGGGGTCCTCGCTGGATCCATCATTCAAGGGAGGAAAAGCCACCCAGACCCGACGATTGGCGTTTACTGAACGGCCCTGGGCGTGTACTAAACAGCCCTGCCCTGTTCGATTCCCTCTGTGGGTGCGTTTGTTAAACGGCTTCGCGTGTCGGGGTGATCATTATGGGGGTGGATTTGCTGCCCTCTTTGAGCTGCACTACCGCACCTCCTCGCAGTTCTTGTTGCCAGAGGCATCAGGGCAGCTCCTTCTTCAAAGGGTGATCTCGCATGAGTGGCAGGCCCATGGGGCAACTAGTCTTTCAAGGGGGGGTAGTACTGCGTCTGGGGACTTTTTAAAGGGGGGGGACTTGGGACGGGAGGGTGTATTGCAGCGTTGGTTATGTGTCCTAGGTTTGCGCTGACCCTGCTCCTCATCGTTCCTCCTCTCCACACGCGCTTCCTCTCCTCGGGGGGGCGCGCCAGAGAGGAGGAGGAGGAGGAGGAAGAAGAAGACGAGGGAGCCGAGGGAGCAGTAGGACAGGGGAGAGGAGAAGGAGGAAGAGGTGGAGAAGGGAGGGAGGAGGAGAGAAGGGGGACGCAAGGAGCGAGGGAGGGAGAGGAGGAGGAGGCAGAGGCAGAGGACGACGCATTCTCCTTGGTTTCCTTCCCCACCCCGACAAGTGTCTCTGGAGGTAGGAGCAGGAAGAGAAGGAGGAGTCGGAGAGCGAGGGCGAGAAAGGAGGAGGGCGAGGGGGAGGGGGAGGGGGAGAGGGAGAGGGAGGGGGAGGAGGAGGAGGAGGACGAGGAGGAGGAGGAGGAGGAGGAGGAGGAGGAGGAGGGGGAGAAGCGGGAGGAGCAGGAGGAGGAGGAGGTGGAGGAGGAGGAGGAGGAAAAGGAGGAGGAGGAGGAGGGGGAGGAGGGAGGAGAAGGAGGAGGAACAAGAGGGTAGATGAGAAGGAGAGGAAGAGGGACACAGCGGCTGCAAGGCCAAGGCATGCCAACGGAGGATGGGGGTGGGGAGAACGAGGAGGCAGAGGCGGACCAAGGACCAAGGAGTGGCCTGGCTTTGAGGAGCCAGGCCCAGAGGAGAAGGGATCGGCACAGGGGGGGGGGCCCACGAGCCAGCCAGGGGCCAGGAGGGGCTCGAGGAACGCCCGCGGCGCAAACTACAACGGGGCCAAGCGAGAGCAGACGGGCGAGGCGGAGGGAGAGAAGGGGTCAGGAGTGCACCTCCCTCTTACGAGTCCTTTGCCGCCAGTCGCCCAGGTTGAGTCATCTTGTGGCTATGTCGAAGCAGTGGTTCGGCCAGGCATCTTGGGGCCTCTGGGTCCATGTTCGGGCAATAGCTTGGAGCAGTCTTGAGGCCTCTTGGGCCCATCTTGTGGCCATCTAGTGGCCTTGTTGAGTCAACCTGGGCGATGTCGCCGGCATGCTGTCGCGTTTGGGGGCCACCCTCGGGCTGTGTGGGGCAGCCTCGAGGACCCTGTAGAGGCGTCGTGGGGCCATCTTCGGCCGTTCGGGGATTTCGGGGTTCTCTTCGGAGCCTCCGGGAATCTGGGGTTATCTTTAGATGTTTGGGATTTGGGTGTTTTCGATGTTTGGGATTTGGGGATGTTTGGGGCCCTCTGAGGATTTGGAAGATTTGTGGGATTCGGGGATCTTCCAAGCCTCTTGAGCCCTGCTGGTCGTGCTGTGGCGTCACCGTTTGGAATCTTGGGGCAACATAGAGCGGCCAGGAAGGTCAAGGGACCCTCCCCAGGGGATTGTTCATGGTCGGGCCCCCCGATAGACAATACAGTCACCGCGTCTAGTAAGGACGCGCGCCTTCGTCTAGGGTACCCTTGGCCCGTCCTTTGCCGTTTTCACTGGTCGCCCGCCGCCAAAAAAAGTCCAACTTCGGCCTCAAAGGATCTTGCGTCTTGCGTCCTTGCCACCCATCCGTGATACACGTTTTGGCTGTATGATAGAGACAGGACTGGATACACAAGAGACACACAAGAAGATGACAGCACAAAACGCACACAAGACAGAAGTCCAGCAGCTCGCTTCGCAGCCCTGCGTCCCCAAGAGGGCCATCGAAGAAAAGACTGCGATTGTCTCTCGTACGCCCAAGGCTATCGACCGCAGGTTCGTGGCCGTCGTCGCCGTCTGAGGCATCGGGGCACCCGTCCCACGTGGGAACGCCGCAGTCTGGCAGCGCCCCCGGCAGCCGCACCGATTCCAGAGTCCTGAGCGGCCACGGCGCGCACGAGCAGCATGCCCCTCGCGGCAGGCACTTGTGATGTTCGGGGGACGGAGAACAGGATGGCATAAAGCTATCCCCCGTGGGGGACGCTTGTGCCAAGGCGGCTAGAAAGTTGATACCTTGGCTTGCCCCCACGGGGGTCACCGTAGGCACCTTCAAGAAGAAATCTGTCTGCCAACTGGCGGCCCACGAGAGTTTCTTATCTCCCAGCGGGGCCGCAGAGAACCTGTGCAGCTCACGAAGCTCAGAGTCGACGAATGATGTGTCCCTAGATCTCTCATAGCAGGATGCCTTCTCGAATGTGCCTACTATATGGGACAGCCTCCCTCTTACCCTCCTCCTCTCACAGCGGACAACTTTATGTTATACCGTTCTCTGCCCGCTACGATGTGCCAGGAAGTATCCAAGATGCCTTCGGCGAGTCAACGCCGCCCGCCCGCCTTTTGGAGGCGCTTGTGGTGTGAAACGTCGAGCGAAAGTGGCGCCACGCTTGTGGACTGCCTCTTCCCCCAGCTGTTCGAGAAGCCATTGGGTGAACACTGGAGAGGAGCCCTCAGGTATCGTAGTGGCGCCATTTTGGTGGTTATGTTCTGGTTTTGAGGCTTTCTGGGGCGGGGTTCTTGGGGTCCTCTTGGGCAGTGCTGGGCTCTTTGGGGTCGGTTGAGGGCGTTCTTGGGCAGCCTGGTGCGTTCGGAGGCCGTTTGGGGGGCCTCTCTGGACAGTCTTGGATTCTTTGGGTCCCGTACAGCCGTCTTGGAGCTGTCTGGGTGACCTATTGGGCAGTCTTGGGGCCCTCTTGGGAGCCTTGTCGGCCGTCTCAGGTTGATGTTGACAGCCTCCTGAGCCGTCTTGGACGCTCTTAGAACCAAAAGGGGAGAATCCAAAAGTCAGTTGAAACACGTGGACACCAATCATGATTGCATCTCGAGGCCCTCCTGGAGGACCTCTTGGAGCCTTCTTGGAGCGTCTTGGGATCCTCTGGGGCAATCTTGAGGCCGTCGTGTGTCGCCTTGATTGGCCGTCTTGGGGGGCTGCTGGGGCTGGGACCAGAGCTAGAGCTGAACCAGGACTGGAGCTGGAGCTCAAGTTGGACAGGAGCTGGACGTGGGGCCAGATCTGGGGGTGGTGCTGGAATTCAGCAGGAGCTCCGCTAGAGTTGGGTTGGAGCTGGGGCTGGAGCCGCGTTGCTGGAGGTGGGCTGGAGCTGGGGCTGAAGCTGAGCTGGGCTGGAGGTGGAATTGGAGCTAGAGCTGGAGACGGTGCTGGAGGCAGGGCGGGAGGGGAGTATGGGCGATATGAAGAGCACCAATCGCTGGAGGGTTAGCTCTGCACGCTCAGAACCAGGCCCAGGGCTGAATTCTGGCGGCACGAAGCACCCAGTGCTGGAGAGGTGGCTCTGGACGTTCCAAGTCAAACCCGGGAGTGGAGCTTTGGCAGCACGACGAGCGACGAGCAACAAACGTTGGAGGGTTTGCTCCAGATGGAAAGAAGCAGTCCCTGGAGTGGAGTTCTGGCAACGCGATGCTGCGACTGGCTCCAGGGATTGTACTTGCATGGTCTCATCAAGCCCAGAATTGGGGT